AAGGAAGGAAGGAAGGAAGGGAAAGAAAGAAAGAAAGAAAGAAAGAAAGAAAGAAAGAAAGAAAGAGGGAGGGAGGGAGGGAAGGAGGAAGAGAAGGAGGAAGGAAGGGGGGCTGGAGAGATGGCTCAGCGGTTAAGAGCACTGACTGTTCTTCCAGTGGTCCTGAGTTCAAATCCCAGCAACCACATGGTGGCTCACAACCATCTGTAATGAGATCTGATGCCCTCTTATGGTGTGTCTGAAGACAGCTACAGTGTACTCATAAATAAAATAAATAAATAAATCTTTAAAAAAAAGGAATGAAGGAAGGAAGGAGTAATGATTACTTCTGAGTATTCATTACATCTTTATACTTAGTACAAATTAATTTTTTAACTGTAATTAAAGAAAGAGCATGAAGAAGTATATTAATTTAAATCATTTCAGTATATATTTTCACATTCCATTTACAGATTGCCTTAGTAGACTAGAATATTTTTATTATTATTATATCAGAGACTAGAGAGTCCCTATATATTTCCATCAGATACACCGAACTTTATCTTACTGGTCATCTTTGTTAATAGATTAATGTCAAAACAAGCTTGTGTTTCAAATGAGATTGCAATCGTTAAGTATGTGACCATTAAAGATCTTCTTATTATGTTCATATTCACACAATTGCCTCCAATTGCAGTTTCTGCTGTGGCAACTTGGGCAGCTCCTTGAGAGCTCCCGATAGCAGATGGGAGGATGAACTGTACTTTACTAGGATTCTCCAGAGCTGCCGACCCCATGGGAAAATGTCTATGAAATCTCTGAAACTTTGTTAAAATAGATTGCAACTTCTTTTCATCTTCTTTAAATTGTTTGATTTCACCACAACTAAGGTCTGTTTGAAGCATTTGTGTGCAGACCTACTATTGTGGAATATGCAGCATATGCAGATTTACCTTGAAACTTTACTTCTAATTTAGATGAAGTTGCTAAGTAAGGGATTTGTAATACTTGATTCACTTCCAACAAGTCCATTTAAAGCTGATAAGATACAGCCGGGGGGTGGGGGGGGGAACAGTTCACTGTAGTAACAATACAATATAAGAGTTAGGAAGTAGATAGTTTATTAAAATGACTAAAATTTCATTAATTCTCTCTTAAAAAGGAAAAGCTATTTAAAATACAGTTTATTAGCTCTTATAATTATTTGTAATTACTTTTCAAATTTTAGGGTGGAGAACCCCATTTAACTTTCTTATAGGCCATGTCTACTAGCAGTGAGCTCCCTAGATTTGATATATCTGGGATTACCTTAATTTCTTCATTGAAGGGCTTAATTCTTAACAGTTGTTTTCTATCTCAATGCTTTAAGTATGTGACACCTATCTGGCTTCCATGGTTTCTAGTGAGAAGTGGCTGTTGATCTTATTGGAGAATCTTTATACAAATTTCTCATTGTCAGGATCTCTGATAGTTTTGGTTTATGACACTTCAGTTGTAAGTTGTCTTATCCTGAAGCTATGGGGTTTATCTTGCTTACTGTTCATCAAGTTTCTTAGGTCTATGGATTCACTTATTTTGTTTAATTTGAGGAGTTTCAAACCATGGGTTCAAGTATTCTGCCTGTCCCTTTCTGCAGTCCATTTGGAAGCCCTATTCTGAGTATTCAGCATGTTTGCTCGTGTTCTGGGAACCATGTCCACACATCTCTTAGTCTCTGCTCCTTATTCTTTTGACTTTTGGACTTAAACTCAATCATTTTGTTTTCCACCTTCAAGTTCACAGGTTCTTTCTTCTGTCTGCTTATAGCTGCTGTTTAACCACTCAAATAAATACTGAAATCTTGTTACTGTGTTTTAAAGTATCATTGTAAGTCTTTGAAAAATAATGTCTATCTTTTATAGCGATTTTGTTTATTAGCAAACATTACTTTTGGACTGGAGAGATGGCTCAGCGGTTAAGAGCACCAACAGCTCTTACAGAGGTATTGAGTTCAAATTCCAGCAACCACATGGTGCCTCACAGCCATCTGTAATGGGATCTGATACCCTCTTCTGGTTTTTTTGGTTTTTTTTCGAGACAGGGTTTCTCTGTGTAGCCCTGGCTGTCTTGGAACTCACTCTGTAGACCAGGCTGGCCTGGAACTCAGAAATCTGCCTGCCTCTGCCTCCCAAGTGCTGGGATTAAAGGCGTGTGCCACCACCGCCCGGCAAAAATTTTATTTTTCTATAGACAGCACATTCTTGTTTCTTCACATTCTTTTTTAATGTTTTAGATTTAAAAAGGATCCCATCTATCCCAGGCTGATCTTGAACTTACTCTAGACTCAAGAATACCCTCGAGCTCCTGATCTTCCTGCTCTGCCTCCCAAGTGCTAGAATTAGAAAGTATAACATTACACTCACTTCCCTTTGAATTTATTTTGTTTGAAACTAGACATTTAGGACTGTATATATAGCTTAATTAAGTCCCTAAAACTTAGAAGAATAAATAATAAAATAAGCAGCTGGGTGTGCTGACACATGTCTTTAATTTCAGCACTAGAGAGGCAGAGGCAGGTTGATAACTGAGTTTGAACTCAACCTGGTCTACAGAGTGAGTTCCAAGACAGCCAGGGCTACAGAGAAACCCCATCTCAAAAAACTAAAAATAAATAATAATAAATAAATAAAAGTAGACATTGTGAATGTTACAGTGACAAAAAGAATGCCATTTTAAGTATTACATGATCAACAGATAAACATTTTCCATCTCGTGACTAGCTTGTATTAGGACCCTCATTTAATATTTACCCAGCATTTTTAATGTTCTAGCATGGCCTTCACTTCTGAGTAACACTAAACCTAAAGATCCCTGGTTACTAAAGCTTATGGTCTTCCCAGATCTTTCCAAATTGTGTCCTGCCAACTGCATGTACCTGGTTTCTAGGTTACCTAGTATATACGGGAGCTTTCAAAACTCATGTTAAATCTTCAAATTTGTTTGCTGTACAGGGAATGCTATTAGGAATATTTAAAATGTCACCGAGAGTGCTAACAAGAATTTTAGCCTCGCTGGGCGGTGGTGGCGCACGCCTTTAATCCCTGTACTTGGGAGGCAGAGACAGGCGAATTTCTGAGTTCGAGGCCAGCCTGGTCTACAGAGTGAGTTCCAGGACAGCCATGGCTACACAGAGAGACCCTGTCTCGAAAAACCACAAAAAAACCAAACCAAAACAAAACAAAACAAAAAACCCAGTATGTTGCCTGATGTGTATTTTGTGCTATAGGCAGTGAGATCACTCAAGGAAACAATCGAAGACTGCTGGGATCAGGATGCAGAGGCTCGGCTCACTGCACAGTGTGCCGAGGAGAGAATGGCTGAACTCATGATGATATGGGAGAGAAACAAGTCTGTGAGTCCAACGGTCAATCCAATGTCGACTGCTATGCAGAATGAACGGTAAGGTCCTGAAGCTTCTACTTTAATTACTTTTGGTAATTTTTCTTGAATGATAAGAAAAAAACCTATGTTTCCCCTTTTCTTGTGTGCTCATCTCTTGGAATGGGTCCTCTCACCTCTAGTCTCTCCTGAGTTTCTTTAAATGATAGTTCATTCAATAGGTATTTGCACTGTAGGCTTCATATCTCTTAGCTTCCCTTTTCTTGGTTGTACAACACTTTCTTAAAAGTGTGTTTTTTATTTGTTGATATTATAAATTGTCACTCCTTGTAATACAGCAGTCTTCTTTTATAGAACCTATTTTCTTACAGCTGCTGAGTCTCTTCTGTAATACTTTTATCTGTTAATGTCTCAGTACCTTGGTCACCTCAGTGAAGGCTATCCCTAATGTTTTCTGTAATGAGATTTTAAATAATTATAGAATAGTTAATAAATGAAAGAATAATTATAGACAGTTTGGAGCTGTCATGCCCAGAGTGCATCTCAGTAACTAAAGAACAGTCCTGAGTATTGGTTCCTCTATCTGAGTGCCATATTCTACCTCATGACCTAGCTCTACAACTTACACTGATAGTGGCTGCCCAGGAATATGCTGCATTGTTAGTCTGTGCTCTTAAATGAGCATGTTTTGGAAAAATGACCAAGTTTTATGCTCTTTTTATTACTCTGCCATTTGAACCTAGTCCATAACATACTTGTCAAGCATATACTATTAGATCTAGGATTACAGAAATACAAAATAAACACATCCCGTAGTTCCTCTAATTACAAAACTATCTATACAGTTCATTAAAAGCATATTTTTCTTTGTTGATGTTACAAAATTATAAATGAGAATTTTTAATTAACTCTTTTATATATATATTTCTTTTTACATTTTGTTTTTGTTCTGCATTGGATCTCCAGGACTGGAATTACAAGCATTTGTGAGCTGTCATGTGGGTGCTGGAAGTCAAAGAGTTTCTGAGCCACTTAACCACTGAGTCATCCTTCCAGCCCCAAAGTTAACTCTTGTAAACCAAAATAATGAGCACCCATAAAAATTCTATTCTGGAATCATATAGATTTTCACATAATCTTACAGACCGTATAAAAAAACTCATGAATTTTGTATTTACCAAGCTGTTAACAATTGCCAGGATTTTGAAGTAATCTCTTAAATCAGAGTTCAGAGTAAAATAGAACTAGTGAGACAGTTTGGTGGGTGAAGATACTTGCACCAGGCGTGATAATTTGAGTTTCATTCCTGAGACCCACACATTGGAAAAGAACCAACTCCCACAAGTAGTCCTCAGACCTCCACACATGCCCCGTATGTATTAAATAAATGAGTGCAATAAAAAGAATGTAAAGCGTAAAATAAAAAGCAGTGGAACTTTGGAATCAGTGGTGTTTTCTTGGAATAGACAGTTTGTTGTGAGTTTCCATTCTGAATGTCATATGTTTTTCTCTCTTCAAGCAACCTGTCACATAATAGGCGTGTGCCAAAAATCGGGCCTTACCCAGATTATTCCTCTTCCTCATATATCGAAGACTCCATCCATCACGCTGACAGCATTGTGAAGAATATTTCCTCTGAGCATTCGATGTCCAGCACACCATTGACAGTAGGAGAGAAGAACCGAAACTCAATTAATTATGAACGACAGCAAGCACAAGCTCGAATCCCTAGCCCAGAAACAAGTGTCACAAGCTTGTCCACAAATACAACCACCACAAACACCACAGGCCTCACTCCAAGTACTGGCATGACCACTATATCTGAGATGCCATACCCTGATGAGACACATTTGCATGCCACAAATGTTGCACAGTCAATCGGGCCAACCCCTGTCTGCTTACAGCTGACAGAAGAAGACTTGGAGACTAATAAGCTAGACCCAAAAGAAGTTGATAAGAACCTCAAGGAAAGCTCTGATGAGAATCTCATGGAGCATTCTCTGAAGCAGTTCAGTGGGCCAGACCCATTGAGCAGTACCAGTTCTAGCTTGCTTTATCCACTCATAAAGCTTGCAGTGGAAGTGACTGGACAACAGGACTTCACACAGGCTGCAAATGGGCAAGCATGTTTAATTCCTGATGTTCCACCTGCTCAGATCTATCCTCTACCTAAGCAACAGAACCTTCCTAAGAGACCTACTAGTTTGCCTTTGAACACCAAAAATTCAACAAAAGAACCCCGGCTAAAATTTGGCAACAAGCACAAATCAAACTTGAAACAAGTAGAAACTGGAGTTGCCAAGATGAATACAATCAATGCAGCAGAGCCTCATGTGGTGACAGTAACTATGAATGGTGTGGCAGGTAGAAGCCACAATGTTAATTCCCATGCTGCCACAACCCAGTATGCCAATGGGGCAGTGCCATCTGGCCAGGCAACCAATAGGGCCCAAGAAATGCTGCAGAACCAATTTATTGGTGAGGATACCAGGCTGAATATCAATTCCAGTCCTGATGAGCATGAACCTTTACTGAGACGAGAACAACAGGCTGGCCATGATGAAGGGGTTCTTGATCGTTTGGTAGACAGGAGGGAGCGGCCATTAGAAGGTGGCCGAACTAATTCCAATAACAACAACAGCAATCCGTGTTTAGAACAAGATGTCCTTACACAAGGTGTTACAAGCACAGCTGCAGATCCTGGGCCATCAAAGCCCAGAAGAGCACAGAGGCCCAATTCTCTGGATCTTTCAGCCACAAATATCCTGGATGGCAGCAGTATACAGAGTAAGTGGAAGGGGTGTGCAGTATCCTTTGGGACAGTTAAATAAGATAGAATCATGTTGTGTTTTCAACTAGTGATTCTTTACCTTTATTACTTTCAGAGACAAAGTGACTGGGCCTTGAAGGTAATTAGATTATTTCCCTCCCCTTTTCTTTTTGATAAATGACAATTTAAAAAGCTAGTGTCACACGTAGAATTACGAATGTAATCTGTGTTTTGCTTGATGGTTTCTCTATGTGTGGTTCATATATTTGCTGTGACAGATGAAATTAAATCAGTGTTCAGTAGTGTCAAGGCACAAGTAATGACATCACACCATGTTAACTTTTGAAATATTTGCTATATATGTTAATGTTAAATCTAAATTTAGTTTTTAACCTTAGTAAATCTTTGGTGTGTGTGTGTGTGTGTGTGTGTGTGTGTGTGTGTGTGTGTGTGTGTGTGTGTGTGTTTGTGATAAGGAGTCTTATGTAATCCCTGGCTGGCCTGGAACTTGCTATGTAGACCAGACTAGTCTTAAACTCACAAAGTGCTGAGATTAGGAGTGTGCCAACATACCCAGATCTTAGTAAATCGTAGAAGTCAAGGGATTTCTTTTATGTGTTTTATGCCTTCTTTCTTTTTGGTTTTTCGAGACAGGGTTTCTCTGTGTAGCCCGGGCTGTCCTGGAACTCACTCTGTAGACTAGGCTGGCCTCGAACTCAGAAATCTACCTGCCTCTGCCTCCCAAGTGCTGTGATTAAAGGTGTGTGCCACCACCGCCCAGCTATGCTTTCTTAAACTAAAGAATAGGCTGAAAAAAGGTCTCAGAATAGCAAATATCTACCCCTTGTCTGGAGGGTGTAGCTCAGAGGTAGAACATCTGCCCGTAATACACAAGGCCCAGGTTTTGGTCTCGAGAACCACAAAGAAAACCTGGCCTTTGCTTAAGTGGTTTATATCACAAGCTAGTTGACATATCCTTCGTGCTTCTGGATCCATAAAGCATCTTGTCAAGTATGAAAACAGAATTAATGGGAAAATGGTCTTCCCTCCAAAATTATTACATGTTAGAGGCCTTTTGATTTGGTCCACTTTGGACATTTTTTTGTTTTGCTTTGTCTTTTTGAGACAAGGACTCATTCTGTAACTCATTGTGGCCAAAGGCTAGATTTGAATCTAATATCCTTCTGCCTCAGACTCCTAGGAACTTGGATTAAAGGAGTACATCCCCATCCATAGCTAGCCCAGCTGTCAGCATTAAGTCAAATGGGGTCTACACCACAACAAAAGAATTTGAGAATGCAATTAAGAATTTTGAATTTTCTGCACGCCTTTAATCCCAGCACTTGGGAGGCAGAGGCAAGTGGATTTCTGAGTTTGAGGCCAGCCTGGTCTACAGAGAGAGTTCCAGGACAGCTAGGGCTACACAGAGAAACCCTGTCTCGAAAAACAAAAAAACAAAAACAAAAAAAAAAATGAGGAGGAGAGAAAGAAAGAAAGAAAGAAAGAAAGAAAAGGAAAAAAAGAAATTTGAATTTTCTTAGTTCTTGTGCGTTTTAATTATTTTTTAGATAAGACTCAAAACTGAGTTGGTAGAATTTTACTTAGAAAAACATCGCCTAACATGATCACATAGTTCAAGAATTGTCCTTCACTGTGCTGGTTTGATCTGTTTGTGAAATTCAGCCCCTTTATTTTCCCATCCAGTTTAGTTTTGTGTGGCTTTGGTGATAGGGTCTTATATAGCTCAGGCAGGCCTTGTGGAGTAGCTGTGTGGTGGAGGAGGATCTTGAGCCTCTGACCTTCCTGCTTCTATTTCCAGGGTGCTGAGATTACCATATGTACCAGGACTGGGCTCCTGTGGTACTGGGGTGGAGCTCAGAACCCTTTGCATTCTAGGCAAGCACCCCATCAACTGCATTATATACCCAACAAACTCCTTTACTTTTAAACATTTTCCTTTTGCACAGCTCACTTCCTGTACTTTTGTTTTCAGTAGGTGAGTCAACACAAGATGGCAAATCAGGATCAGGCGAAAAGATCAAGAGACGTGTGAAAACTCCATACTCTCTCAAGCGGTGGCGGCCGTCCACCTGGGTCATCTCCACCGAGCCGCTGGACTGTGAGGTGAACAACAACGGCAGTGACAGGGCTGTCCATTCTAAGTCCAGCACTGCTGTGTACCTCGCAGAGGGAGGCACGGCCACAACCATGGTGTCTAAAGATAGAGGAATGAATTGTCTGTGAGATGTTTTCAAGCTTATGGAGTGAATTATTTTTTGCATCATTTAAACATGCAGAAGACATTTAAAAACAAACAAACAAACAAACTGCTTTAACCTTCTGTCAGCGCCCCTTCCCACCCTTGCAGCAAGGACTTGCTTTAAATAGATTTCAGCTATGCAGAAAATTTTAGCTTATGCTTCCATATTTTTTAATTTTCTTTTTTAAGTTTTGCACTTTTGTTTAGTCTCGCTAAAGTTATATTTGTCTGTTATGACCACATTATATGTGTGCTTATCAAAAGTGGTCTCAAAATATTTTTTTTAAGAAAAAAGCAAAAACAATGTATTTACTGATAATCAGTTTGGACCATTTTCTAAAGATCATTAAAACAGAAGCAAATTAAGACAGGTTTGACTGCAATGGTGTCTGGTATCCATGTTTTATTTCTGGGCACAAGCTAGTTTTTATGTTAACATGTTTTTGACCATAATCTGTTGGACATTCTTTTCTCTTGTATTTTATTTGAATGTGCAATAGTCTATAGACCACAAAGAAGCTTTCTTATCTGCTCTCTTCCTAGCAGGGCACACATTGTTCCATTGTTGAAATATTTTCCCCTGTTCTTCGATAATATGAACATTTTCTAGCTTTCTCCTTATGGAGGTGCATAGATGCTGTCCAAAGGGCTCCACAAAGGACTTACCAGAACCTGTTTTGAAATGCCTTTGTCTTCTAACCTTCCAAATGCTAAGTGTCCCTCCCAGGCATTGTAACAAACATCTCTGGTTCTGATTTTGGAAGTTCATAAGAGAGCATAGAACAAAACAGAAGAAAGCAAATATTAGCCTTTTCCATTTTATTTTTCTATGTATATGTTCATGTCTGTATTCATTATTTAAGAAATATTTTTTATCAGAAAATGTATAGAGCTAAACCTACATGGAATTTTTAAGTAAATAGCTGGGCAAGATGATTAGTATAGTAACTTTCATTTTCTGACCATCACAAATTAAATTACATTTTCTATTTATAATAACTTCAGAAGTAAGTGATAGTTGATTTGAATCTATAGTATTGTTTCCCAGCATAGCCTATGTGAAAAATGTTTCCTCCTCCCATGACCTAAAACACTGTGGAAAGCTCATCCAGCCAGCACGCCAGATCCTATGGAAGAGAAGCTTGCCGCCAGCCTTACCACCATTGAGCAGGCTAAGACCGGCCCTCTGTCTGTCCTAAGTTTATTTCTTCACTAATCCCGATTTTGTAGTTCCTCTTTTTGCCAGTTTCACATGTCCTTTGACTTCGAGCAGCATTCACTATGTATGTTGTAGTAGAGCATGCTTCTTGTGATGGTGTGCCGTGACATTGCTTCTTTTGTCACTAATGATTTCTGAAACAACAGTTTCTGTGTCTTTTAATAAAGCACTTTCTGTCAAAAATTTAGGAATTTTCCCTAAACATTGCTTTATATCAGTTTGCAGACAAATTGTTCTCCTGTTTTTTCAGATTCTCAGACTCCCTAATATCCATTATCTGATTATGTTTTCAATTTTAACAGGGAGATAAAAAGTTAAGTGCAGATCTCCAAATTTCTGATTTTGGTTCTCATGTCCTGAACACTGTTTTCTCGTCAGTAATCCTCTTTCCTTTCATTTAACTCATGCACGAGCTTCCTTCACTTGCCATCTGCCATGCTCTGGGGTCACAGCATTTCCCGTTTATTCAGCTGACTGGAGCTCTCAGTTCTTAGGATTAAGATTATCTCACTTGTGCCCAGTACTCCTTTCTCACTTTTGTGTTTCATTGGCCCCTCTTGTGGTTCAGAGTCTTAATATATGTTTTTGTCTTCTGGCATACAGTTGTTTTTTTGTTTTTGTTTTTGTTGTTGTTGTTTTGTTTTTTTTCTAATTAGTTACTGTCCTTTGTCTATGTAACAAATAATTTCACTTATTTCTTTTGTCCAAATGGCTTTCAAGTACATTTCAGAATTTTTATTTTTCAGCTCTAGGACAACTTTAAATCAAAATAAATTACATTCCTCCCATCTCCAACTTGAAACATTAAGAATAAATGACCCTTTGAGGTCCAGCTGATCTTTTCCCATCAGAAAAATTGTCTTACATTCTGATACAGTTTGTATTAGGGCCAGTCAGTTGTGAATTTTCTAAGTCCTTAATGTTTAATAATAGAATGCTTTAAAAATTAATATGCCAGATAAAAGAAATCTCTATAGTTTCCCATCTCATGCAAATATATTTAAAACAAATAATTCCTTGAACTGCTTGAAGAATAGGAAAGGTAGTAAGTATAGGTCATTTTAATAAGTTTTGAAATCTATAATACACAGCATGCAGAAATCCCTGTAATAAATTACTAGTTAGATTTATCTAATCTGATTCTTGAAGCTGAAATGAAATTTACCTTAAAATTTCACACACAAAATTTAATTTTAGGCCATTTGAATAAAAGTCATTCAATTTAAAAAGATTTCTCTGGACAGTAATATAATCTTAAAAGCATCATAATAGGGCATCAGATATGCTGTTAGTTCCCTTAAGAAAATATTAGTTGCAGGGCTAGAGAGATGGCATCAAAATAACAGTGCTTCCTGCGCTGGACCCAAGTTCAGTTCCCAGCAGCTACATGGCAGCTCACAAAACTTCCACAGAATCCAATTTTCTTTCTGGGCCTCCACTGACATGCATGTAACACCCCATCCCACCCAACACACACATACACATAACTATAAAGACAAAAGTAAATCTAAAATACTAGTTATATGCCAGAGCTAAGCAATGGAAAGAACTTGGTTTGAATTATGTATAGAATAAAATTATTTAAATAAAAATCCTAAATAATTTAAGTGTATAATTTAAAAAACTCTCCTACTGTAGACATTTGTGAAGACATGCTAAAAACTGGCATTACATACACTTATTTTTTCATCCTCAGAGCAACCATATTATAATTAAGAGAAAGTTTGTCTAAGTGTCATACCCAGACACACTGGGTATTTCACCCTGGGTCTTTCTCCATGTGTCTTTTATGCACAACACACGGTCTACATTCTGTATGAACTGATGTGCAGTATCCTGACATATGCTGTACTCCAGCAGACGTGTGGTTTGTGTGTAAGCCAAACCAGGTACCTTAATGATCTTAAGTTAGGGAAACATGAAGCTCCATAATCATTATTGCTTAAAAACAATTACTAATTCAATGCAAAGTTCAGCCTACATCTTAAACGTTGTTTTGTCTGTCTCCGAGTATTTTTACATTGCAGAATGAAAGGTAAAGTAGAAAAAAGTGAAGGTAGCAAAGGAAGCAGGGGCTCCCTAATGTGATCCCATACCTCACTTGGAAAAAAGAGTTACATGTAAATTTGCTGTCTTCTCAGTCCCTTGACTTCCATCTTTAAAATGTCAGTTTTACCAATGTCAGAAAAACTGTTACTCCAGAGAACTAAATAATCTGTAGAAAGGATGCAAGATCCATCCTCTTTTTATAAAGCAGGCTTCTGTGCAATGTGTATACTTGTTCCAGAACCTGTGTGTTGGTTCTGAATGAGAACATAAGCAGCATCACATCAGTGGGAATTACAGATCTTCTTTAAAATATTTCCAAGTTTGTCTTCTGAATCCCAAAGGAACATCTGATATGGTACAGCTATCACTTGTACTTTTACTCTCTGTTAATTAGTCATTTAAAATAGAAAACAATCAATAAACGTTGGTTTCCTCTTACCATGTTTGTGGACATAAATATTTCATTGAGAGTCACTTTTAGAATTTGATACTATATTATATCATGTCACATTTTATAAACCTATGTTGAGCTTAGTACCAGTCATGTATATGTTATTGTATAACTATCCATAGATTTTTTAAAAAATATAATTACCTTATATCCTTAACTCCTTAAAAGATTCTGCATACATTCTAATTCTACTGTTCTAGACCAGTCATTCTAGGAAGTGTGTAACACTCCCTCATTGGCCCTAGGAATCTCTTTTAGGCTATGATAATTTTAAATTATTCACACCCTTGACTACCAGTGGGTTGTGGTGTATTTTGTTTTTTGTTTTATTTTTTCCAGAAGATAAAGTTGCATTTTAATTTTTTTTTAGATTATGAACTATGCAAACTTCATCCAAAAAATACCTTACATGATCTCTTCCTAACTGTGCTCATTGATTATATCAGTCTAGCCAGTTACTTTCTGAGCTATTTAAAAATGTTATTATCAAAAATGGCTTTTCTATAAGTGTCCACATTAACACAGAGGAAAGCTCCATGTGTCCAAAGAGGTGGTAACACCTACCTGTTCCTCTCTTTAAGTCTCTCATGATTTATAGCGCCTGTCCCTCTACTATCTGACTTGCAGTCATATGTCAGGAAAGTTTTTTTTTATGCCTGTTCTGTCTCTCTTGTTTGATTTAAGGTCTGTTTCTCACACCTAGTAGGGAGAAGAGATGGCAACCTCTCTAACACTCTTCAGTCAGCCTCAGGCTTCTCAACACCAGTTCATCAATAAAATTATTCCAGTTCCTTTAGGGTTTTTTTCTTCTCGAATCTATTTTAATTACTTTATTTATATTTAAAAGCACTAAAATTCTATGTTATATTCAAATTAATTACTCCAGTTAATTTATAGCACAGTAGTTTGATAGAATTGAAAATAAAGCTGTTACCATTGGATTTAATCATCAGACCACCTGAAAATTAGCACCTAATTTTTGTATTATCTTAACATTTTTCTATTAAAGTATGTTTTATGTTTTTATATCTGTACAGATACAACTAAAAAGCCATGCATACATAATTGTGTATTTTTTTCCCATTAAAGTCTAATCTATGTTACAGTGTATTAGTATTATATGTTTGGGTATTATGATTGAGCTACAACAAATATTATACATCTTTCTTTATCAAATACTGTATTAAACACTAAATACAAAACTAATTTTCAAAAGTAGACCCTATAAAAATCAGGTATTCATGGATGTTTTTGTATTTTTGTAGACCACTTTTGAAATGCTTATTGTTTTTGCAGCATAGACTGGACTAAAACAATTTTCATTTTAACTTTCAAGTGATTAAAGCTAGATGTTTGCATAGAAAGGAAATCCTTAAAAATTTATCCCATGGCATATAAATTTTGAGAAGCTATACTTTTTTTTTTTTTTTTTTGGTTTTTCGAGACAGGGTTTCTCTGTATAGCCCGGGCTGTCCTGGAACTCACTCTGTAGACCAGGCTGGCCTCGAACTCAGAAATCCGCCTGCCTCTGCCTCCCGAGTGCTGGGATTAAAGGCGTGCGCCACCACCGCCCGGCGAGAAGCTATACTTAATGTTAAGATTATGCCCCCAAATAAATCTATTGAGTCTTTTTTAAATTTTCAATTTTGTTATTACTGATGTTTGTGGTGTCGAATGAGCATTGTAAACATACACATTCATTTGTGAAATGTGGTGTGCGGCCCACATTAAAATCTGGAGCAGAAAGAATCTTTAGAACTATATTGCTTTATTAGGATGTCTAGTTTGTAACTGAATTTAAAAAGAAAATTGACTGTACTTGAATTTACAACTTGACTGTTCTTTCTTTTTAAAATGTTTTTTCCCCATTCAATTTGTATTTCAAATTCCAGAAACATCTTCATGGTTTGGAATCACTTTTAGACATAGTATTACTTAAAAACTCAGGGCCCCTTTCATCTGTTTGTATACTGAAAGAGTTCAGTTGCTAACAAACAAACAATTAGATCTAGTTGAATATTTAAAAGTATTTGTTGCATAGTAATGTTTCATCATATTATTTGGCTTAATTCACATCAACATGATGTTTGATTTCATTAATCATAAAACTTGCCCAGTTCTGTAATTACTGACTAAAGGGAATGACTCAACTAATTGGCCACATGTTACAGCAGGTTTAAGCCTTGGAGTTGAAGCCCTGGCTTAAACACTTTCTGTTCTTGGTTCTGTGGATATACATGATGGGGCAAATGTTTCATTCTGTTTTGTTTTTTAATAGCAAGATTAGGAAAGGTAATTCTGAGATAGAATTTTCTTACATGATAATTAGCATTATAAGACTTTATAAAAGTGAGCTGATGGCTCTAGCCTTGGTGACAGCTTGGTGGCTTTGAGAAGGTCAGCGATGGTGACCAGCTTTTCACATTGTCAGAGCCAAACAGTTGTTCTTTGAGTCAGCAAACTCAAATTCTAATTGGTCTGCTGTATATTTAAATCTTTGCAGTGAGTTTTTTGTAACCGGTCTCTTGTCTCAGGCTCCCTGCCTTGTTATCAGTCTTAGCATATAAAAGAGACATTTGTAAAGATGTATAAGAATAAGAAAACTGATGACTAAAAAAATGCAATTCAAAGCAATTAGGTGTCAATTTACTATTGAGTTGCTTTACTTCTGTGATTTTTTTTTCTTCTGGTAACAGTTATTTATTTAAGCAATGTTGTATGCCTTGTCTTCATTTCTAGAGAGATTGTATTGTATGTGTTTGTATAAGCTGGAATCATCCTTAATTTTCTGTTGCTAATTTTTAAAATGAATTTACATAGATAATTATAAAATACACTAACTCTTAGGGTGTTATAGCTGAAACATGGAGATGTGTAGCTGCCATGCTTTTTCTGAGTGGACAGGTGAAACACAAGCTACCAAGTATTCATTTCTGAGGATGCTTTTTAGGAGAAGAAAGGCTGACAATACTAGTACTTCCTCGGAACGCTCCTTCTTGTTAACGGGTATCTTTTGTTGGTGTGTTTGCTCTTACCTTACAGATAGAATATCGTGTGTGACTTTATGAATAATTACTTTCAGTCATTTTGCTTTTGTGTAAGCCATCTGAGACCTTGCTATGCTGTATAAGTTGTGTGACGGAGCAGTGTGAGTATGAAATAAAGCGGATCACTTTCCTTTTGTATTATCTATGGATGCCACTATGAACGCTGAGATTAAGCCACTAAAGAGTTTTCTATGAATAAGTGTAAGTAAATGCTTTGATATATAGAAACCTAAATAAAAAGATTGTATTGAGACAGAGACATTGGCAAAGGAAGTTTTAAGGCAGTTCTTTAGGTTTAAAAGGCTTGCTGTAAAATGGTGCATTATTCCATTTATTAAAGATCATATTAATGAGAACAGTAAGTGTATTTTTTTTATTTTATAAAGTCTCCAGAATGGTTACTGCTAATAAGATGTTGTAGAGATTTTGCAATAGAGTCAGTACATGCTGACTCTAACAAGACTTTTATAACTTAGTGTGATACTAAAAAAAGTTAACTGCGATTAGAATAATAGCTACTGCTTTCTAGCTACTTACAATACACCTAACACCGTGTTACCAATTTTACACACAGTTGACAGTTTTCACCACTGCTTTACAAACATGTAAAGGGAAGAAATAGAAGGTCAGGAAGTTTAAATACTTTCTTCAGGCCACAGAGCCAATAAGTGGTTAATAAGATCCTGGTAATGTATTTTATGCTTCTCTTTGAACTACAGCTTTTAAGCTTTTCTTGTGGCAAGGAAAACTCATAAACATAGATAAAATGTGCTCAGTGGTTATAGTGGCCAAGACCAAATTAAAGTGACTGGAGAGTACCCAGAGCTGCTGGGGCTCACCTCCTCTTGCTCACCTGATACTGATATGGTGCCTAAGTTGCTGAGTAATGTTTTTGGTTAGATCCTTGTATTTTAGGAGATTTCTTCATCCTCTTACAGTGTCTTTCTACATTGCCCTGCTTTCTGCCTCCAGAGTAGCTGGTTCTGTAAACTCTCACTACCATAACAGCTTGAACACTTCTTTAAACTAGAATGTGTGTCTGGAGATAGTCTGTGTAGATGAATTCACTGTGTTGGCTAGGTGTCCTGCAGTGGAACCCTTTATCAGTATACAGGGCAAGCATGTTCCAAGTGTTCTTTGACCCAGCGACTGCCAGGTACTGAAGAAACAAATGCAACCTGCTCCCATAGGCTCTCTTGTCATCTTAAGTGATATTTAGGGGTCAGAGATGTAGGGCGTCTTTCTTCTTTTTGGCTCTAGTCTGGTACATGGGGTACTACTGTGGTTCTGCAGAGCCTTCTGTGTAGTATTTAAGATGATAGCTGCATTTCCTTAGAGGAAGTGTGGTAGCTTTGGGAAAGCATGTAATAATGACCCATTGAACCTTTTTAAAATTTTTACTTTTTTTTTTTATTTTATGTGCATTGGTGTTTTGCTTGCATGTATGTCTGTGTGAGAGTGTTTGATCCTCTGAAACTGGAGTTAGAGACAGTTATAAGCTCCCAAATGGGTGCTGGGAAATTGAACCTGGATCCTGTGGAAGAGCAGCCAGTGCTCATAACTGCTGAGCCATCTCTCCAGCCCTCCCCCCTCAAACCTTTTAATGACTTACCAAAAGTAAAATTATTTTCATTTATGCATATCTGGTCTGTTTCCCCAGTTTATACTCCTTTCTGCAAAGAGCTGCCTTTAGCCAGTGATTAATCCTCTCTTTGTTCTATAATGGTTTTTTTAGATTAAAGACCAAATCCTACATTCATTTTATTGGTATAATTTATTTTTCAAAATCGAAAAGATGAACTGAGAGATAACAAAAAGTTTGATATAACTCCTTCTCCAGGAGGAGAGAACTCACAGTGGTTTGTGACTTTTCCTAGGGAGACACATGAGAGTGCTTGCTTGCACTGACCAAAGAAGCAGGTCTGTCCAAGTGCAGCCTGG